ATATATTTTTAGTGTTTATTATTAGGTTACAATCAGTCAAAATAGGATTCAAAGATTGGTCAAAGAAAGTTTATTACCTAGTGAGGCAGAGTAGCCTAAACCAACTTGTGAATCTTGTATTGAATGATAGATAACTCTAAGGGTTTTAATCAGCCAAATAAAATAGACATAAAGAACAAATGGAGTAGGTATACACTGATATATGTGGTCTTATGAACATCCAAACAAGACTACTCAGTTTTGGATACATTTACTTGATGCAACATAAGTCTTAAACTTTTGGTATATTCCGAGAGTATCAAGACTAATGTGGAGCACAGATTAGATAAACTTATCAAAACACTTCGATCTGATCGTGGATATGAGTATTTCTTGGGATAGTGCAAAGATTATATGGTCAATGAGGGTGTTGTGTACTAGTTTTCCGCAATTGACGCTCAATGAATTGAGGTGTCAAATAGGAATAACAGAATTTTTCTTAACATGGTTAGATCTATAATCAGTTATGCTACATTATCTCTTTCATTTTAGAGTTTAGCCTTGATGATATCAATGCACATTATGAACCACATTCCATCTTAGTCTGTCTCAAGGATACCTCCTTTTGAGTTGTGTTTTTGACTAAATCTTAGTTTGAATCACATGCACGTATGGGGTAGTCTTGCACATGTGCGCTTAATATGGATAAGTAAGTTAGAAGCATATCATAGGCATGCATAATTTTATGGCTACTCTAAAGGCACTAGGATGAATTATTTTATGATCTCAATAATAAAAGTTGATAGTTTACACTCACTGTTTATTTATAGGAGGATCATATTATGAATCACATACCTAGTAGCATAATGTTAGAAAATATGGTATGAGTACCAGATATACCACATATGAACACACTTATTATAGAAATTAAGAATTATATATGAATTCCCTATTGGTGCGTCGGCATCATCTAATACACAGATTCCTGCATCGGTACATTGATGTAGTAGGAGGATTATAATCCAATCTGACAGAATCATGTTTTTAGATGAGACCGTTATAAACATCCCTGTTAAACATGAGTTGGACCCAATAAGCTACAAGAAAGTGTGAACCGATATGGATAAAGATAGTTTTGGCAAGTTGCTATGAAATCAGAGTTGGAATCTATGTATTCTAATAAAATCTGGGATCTTATAAAACTTTCTAGTAGAGTGATACCTATGGAAGACAAGTTAATCTACAAAAGGATACCAGATGATTTCTTAGTAAATGAACCATGTGTGTACAGGGTAATGTCATTATTTTTCTAATTCTATATATTGATGACATCCTACTCATTTATAATGATGTAGAAGTTTCGTCATTAGTAAAAAGGTAGTTGTTCAATTACTTTGAAATGGAAGATCTTCAATATGTAAGCCATATTCTTAGGATCAAGCTTTTGTAAGATCGAGTTAAAAAGAAAATAGGCTTATCTTAACAATCCTACATTGATAAAGTTTAGACCAAGTTTGGTATGCAAAACTCAAAGAATGAGTTCTTGTTTTATTGATATGGATTACATTCTCTAGTAAGTAGTTTTCCAAGACTAGCAGAGGAGATTAAGTAAATGAGAGTGGAATAATATGCTTCGGCATGTGAGATTCTCATATATGCCATGATCTATACCAAACAGGACATCCGCTACATTATAGGGATAGTCAGTAGATATCAGTTCAATCCTGAACTTGATAACTGGTCTGTTGTGAAAAATATCAAAAAGTACCTTAGGAGAACCAATAATCTCATACTCATTTATGAATGTGATGATGTGGTTCCAATCGGGTATGCTAGTTCTGATTTTAAATCAGATATAGATATTATAAGGTTCATGACTTGGTGTGTGTTCACTCAATGGAAGGGAAATCAGTTGATAGATTGTTAAGCAAATTTCAACTGCTAACTCAAACTTGAAGGTGGAGTACATTGCAGCCTTAAAGGCAGCAAATAAAGCCTTTTGGTTTATTCTTACTGATTTAGAGGTTGTGGAGGATACTAGCCTGCCTTTCGAGCTATATTGTGTCAATAGTGTAGAAGTAGTCCAAACCAATGACCCAAGGTTCCATGGAGGAACAAGGTATACTGAGAGGAAGTATCATGCCCTACATGATATTGTTCGGCAAGAAAATGTACTATTGGCTAGAACATTGCATTGGAACATAACTTTGTTGATCCATTAACAAAGGTATCATCGATCAATAGTTTTAGTCGTCACTTGGATAACATTAGAGTTAGATGCAATTAGAATTGGCTATGAGGGCAAGTGGGAGCTATTGGGATTTATATGCCCTGGCATAGCAAATTCCTATTTAGATTAAAATAACATATATTCCTGACATATCTGAAATATTTATGATTTATACAATTGGTGAATTCAATGTATTATGTTTTGATTCATTATGGAATTGATAGTGTCCACTTGATTACAAGAGCTATTTATATATGTATGTGATGGTGATCAATACATTAATATAAATAGTAATCGTAAATTATTCATAGTCGGTAATTATGGATGAACTCATTATTAATTAAGACTTGAACTGGATCCGTGTTAGGTTGAGATATATTGTGAGAGTTATCGTATGCAATTGCTCCCTATCACTGTCATGTCATTTGATTCTTAAGTATGAGAGAAGTATAGACTCTTTTATTAATTAGTAATTACTTTGATTTGTTCGGCGGAATCTTCAGAATCCATAGACTATCACTTTGGGTAATTATATAATTAATAGTTAGAGAGTTATATTTTTAATATTTGCATCATTACTACTTGTATTTATTTTGTATTGATTATAGTTGATCACAAAATAAATTCGAAAGTCTTTGTATGTTTTTAGACAAAATGATTTATTATATATTTATTTATTTAAATTATTATTTTTGTCAAAACAAATATTTTATTGTGATCAAGCCGGTAATAATCAGAGGTACCAAAATAAATATATTAATTAAGTAGTCGGATTGATGGCTTTATTTATCCGATAATTAATTATGTATAGAGAGGTCAAAGTGTAACATTGATATAGAGGTTATTTATTAATAAATTAGAGTTTAATTAATTTCTTTTAGTGAAGTAGAAATTAATTAATAAATTAATTTAATTGGATCCATGGACTGGGCCACTTATTAATTTATTATAGCCAATAAAATAATAAGCTCAAAGGATTCTTACTTATAACCCAACTTGATATTGGAATCCTATTAGATTTGAGATATCACATTACTTTTAGAGATTGAGAAAAATATATGATCTTTAATTATTTTTATGTTGCTTATATATATATGGAATCCATATATATTTTAGGTTATACTTGGTAAAATAATTTTAGAAGACAAAAAAATATTCTCTCTCTAGAATTTTAGGGTTAGTGTTCTCATCTAATGGAGGCTCCCACAAGTCTAATTTTCCAAGGTTTTTCATGGAGGCTTATGGATGATTTCTAAAGGCAAGACCATTACCAAGAAGAAGGAGATCCATGGAAAATGTATCTAGTAAAAGAGATCTACAATAAGTGACAACATTCACTTCAGAAGAGAGATACAAGATTTACTCAAACCTTGATATAAGTTTTCTATTCTTAAATTGAATGGATCATCATATTCTTCATGTATAAAACTTATCTCTACATATGAATCAAGATCTTGATTTAAAAAACTATCATAAAGTTTTAATTAAAAACTTCTATTTCACAGGGACAACAAGGCAAAGGAACTTCAGAGGATTCACGCCCCGAAAACTTAAGCGCTGAAAATGTTATCTATCTCCGTCGTCGGAATTGCATAATCATCAGTGGCAGTTGGTAAAAAGCGTCGGAGATGGATACTGTTACCAGTGGTTTTTCTGTCCGCCGGTGATACCTCATTGTCCTGTAGTGAGGCGCCGGCAGAGGTCTTTTAAAACAATGGCTGGCCAGCCTTTTTTATCTTGCCATTGGCCGGCAAAGGTCAATTCAATTCAGACACAATTCAACAAATTTCAGGTAATATTATATATACAGATATATATATAATGCATCTTTGTTTCTGATTTTTAAATTCAAGTGGAGATTAGTTAAAAGATGCATTGTCACGTGAACTATAGATAGATAAATGCTACCAAACATAACGCAAACATGTCTCTGCATGGCATTCAAGTTAATTTTTCCAATAATTGTATTCAGTAATTTAAACTCCAGTAGCTACATATTTTTTTATCCTTAAATCTTTATGAATAGCCCTTCACTACTTTAAGGGAGTTTCTTGTCCCCCACTTTAGATTTTAATGATAATTTTATTGTTTACATTTACTCTATATGTATACAGTGGGTACACAAAAAGACATATATACTTGGACAAATATACAGCTATTGACATGATCTACTATATATACATCAGCTAGCTTATTGGTTGTATAAAACAACATCATACCTATGAATTGTTTTGTGCCGTGTTTAAGTAGAACTTATATCGATCAGACACATATATCTGTATTTGTTCACACATTATACTCGTCAAGATTCTCTCAGTCAACTAACATGCACTCTTTAATATATATATATATATATATATGTTTGAATGCAATTAAAAACAATATTTATATATAGAGTAATAATATTTACACGTATTTGTCATTTATGCTATATTAATATTTTATTAAATGTAATGGACAGAGATTGAAATACTTGGAAATATAATAATAGATTTGAGAATTCCGCATTTTCTATATATATATGTGCGTGTGTGTATATATATAAACCATAATTAATATCAAAGGCAGGCCGGCCAAATTTATACACCATCTATATATATATATATATATATATATATATTCTCACATTGATCTCTCCGTCCTTTTGTCCATAATCCTATGCATTAATTAATTAGTCTTCTCCAAAACTCTTCCATATATTTAACGTCCGTCCGCTTAGTACTGCTCATATTCTCAAGTACTACTTTAAACATACTGAAATCTTTTTCGCAAAGAAAGAAGATCGAAAAAGATGGGCATGAGTAGTTTCCTAAGAATTAATGTATTGCTCATGATCATACTTTTTGTTGGATTGTATTTATGTGATAAACCCACCACCACCACAACAGATATTCTTCTAGACAAGATTACTTATTGTTTATCCCATGAAAACATCAGTAATTTCACTGTATATCCTTATAAAATGGACAGTGATTCCCCACTAGTTTACTTTAAGCTACTTAACTTCTCCATTCAGAATCTCCGTTATGCTGAACCAACAGTCCCAAAGCCCATTGCCATCATTTTGCCAGAGACTAAAGAGCAGCTAATCGACACTTTTCTGTGCTGCAGAAGATCATCATCATCCTCCTCCTCCTTGGAAATCAGAGTAAGGAGCGGTGGCCATGGCTACGAAGGAACGTCTTCTTCGGTGGCCACTACTGATGGAACTCCTTTTGTCATTATTGACTTGATGAATCTAAACCGTGTTTCTGTTGACCTGGAATCCGAAACCGCTTGGGTGGAAGGGGGTGCAACACTAGGAGAGACGTACAGTGCAATTGCTAAATCAAGCAAGGTTCATGGGTTCTCGGCTGGGTCGTGCCCAACTGTAGGGATCGGAGGCCACATTGCCGGCGGTGGATTTGGTCTTTTGTCCCGGAAATACGGAGTTGCAGCCGATAATGTGGTGGACGCAATTCTTGTGGATGCAGATGGACGATTGTTGAACCGACAAGGGATGGGAGAAGATGTGTTTTGGGCCATCCGTGGTGGGGGTGGAGGTATTTGGGGGATTGTTCACGCATGGAAGATCAAATTATCGAGAGTACCAGAAACTGTAACAGGTTTTATTGTGTCTAGGCCTGACACAAAACGTAACGTGGCCAAGCTGGTGCACAAGTGGCAATTCGTTGCACCCAACTTACATCATGGCTTCTACTTATCTGTTTTTGTGGGTGCTAATCTGCCGGAAACCAACAAAACCATCGCAATATCAGCCACGTTTAAAGGGTTCTATCTAGGCCCAAGAAGCAAAGCTGTGTCCATCCTCAACCGAGTCTTTCCTGAGTTGGGTATCAAGGAGGAAGATTGCAAGGAAATGAGTTGGATTGAGTCCATTCTTTTCTTCTCTGGATTATTATTGCCGGCTGACGTCGACCATGATTCTTCTACCACCACTACTGGTATTGACCTATTGAAGGATCGTTATTTGCATGACAAAGGGTATTTCAAGGCCAAATCAGACTACGTGAGAGTCCCCATATCCATTAGTGGAATAAGGGTTGCACTTGACATACTTGATGAGGAACCAAAAGGGTATGTTATTTGGGACCCTTATGGGGGAGTTATGCAAAATATAAGCTGTGAATCCATTCCCTTTCCTCATAGAAATGGTAACCTTTTCAACATTCAGTACCTTGTGGCTTGGGGAGAAGAAGAAGAAGATAATTCCAATAAAAGCAGCAGACAGTATATGGATTGGATAAGAAGATTGTATCATTCAATGACGCCCTATGTTTCGGCCGGACCCAGAGCAGCTTATGTCAACTACATGGACCTGGACCTTGGAGTGATGGAGGATGAGACGTTGCTAATTAATACTACCACTACTTCTCCAAGTGTGGATGCTGTGGAGATGGCTAGGGTTTGGGGTGAGAAGTATTTCTTAAATAACTACGATAGATTAGTTAGAGCCAAGACACTTATCGATCCACACAACATTTTCAAGCATCAACAAGGCATTCCTCCATTGTCCTCCTCTCTTGTTAGTAGTGTAAGGGCAGAGGTTTGAGATAGAGAATTAAGTAATTAGTTGGTGGTTTTTAATCTTCCCTAACCATATTATTATATATGAGTATTAATGCTACATAATGCTAGAGTACGTTGTTCTTCCTTTGTCCATATTTTCTTGTACGTTTTCTGCTCATTTGATATGCAAAATTCCTAATGAGTTTGAGTTTTGAGTGTTGCCAAAAATACCCATAATCAATCCGAAATGTTTGACGACAAATAAAAATAATGAGGAAAAATAACAATCAATCAATCAAATAAGGACACAAGCAATTTACATGGTCCGGCTTAAAAGAAAGCCTATGTCCATGGGCGGTAACGATCAACAACTTCACTATAAAATTATAAGGAGTACAAGGACTCGATATGAAACAAAAGAAATCAAAGGAATATGTGTTATTTTTCTTCCCTTACAATAACACTCTACAACCAGGTTCCTCTCTTATGGAGGGAGGCTCCAACTCATCAAAACTGTATCGGTTAGCATTGTCTCCTGCAGGAGTAAGCACTTTATCCTCCCACTACAAGTCATCAGTAAAGTGATTTCCATCTTAAGAAATTTTCTTTGGACTGGTACGAGCTAAGGTTAATTAGTTCTATATATTTTTGTAAGCCTAAGGAGTATGGGCGTTTAGGCCTTCCAAACATGGCTACTCTCAATAGAGAAAGTAGTAATTTTGAGGTTTTGTAGAGATCTTCTACTTTCAGCCTTTGTAGTTTTGCGAACTGAATAAGTTGTTCGTTCGTAAACTGAACTTCTTCTCCAATAACATTATTGAGTTTAATGTTAGAGGATTCTTCAGGATGAGGAGTGAAATTTAACATAAAAATTTCTTCGTCACCAAAATCTGATTTTGATTCACTAGATATTTCATAAAGAATACTATCTGAATCAGAAAGGTCTTCATTATAGATGACATGAAGATCTTCGGTTTCGATCTTTTTGATCATCTTAGATGTTCCTTTACCTTTTTTTTGGGCAATTAAGTGCAATATGTCCATCTTCATTGCACATGTAACATGTACAACCTTTTTTTTTGGGAGAGGCTTTAGATTTTGAAGTATTACTTTTGACATACTTAATTCTTTTTCTTTTGAACAGGCTGTTTACCTGGCCTCCATTTCTTCCAACGAAATCTTTTCTTTCTAAAAGATCTTTTGGGATAGGACTTGCTGGTTCAGCATCCTATCTTCCAGTTTTCTTTAAGAACCTTATCGCAACACCTTTGACTATAGGTGTTACTGATTTGATTCTTAACCCATTTCTTGGCTTTGGCTTCTAAACAATTTTCATTTATAAGCCAGTAAACATAACTAATTCGAAAACCAAGATTTATTGGGATCATTAGATGAAGAGGTTTGATCTTCAACTTTTGTTGCAGGAAGAACAGTTTTCGTTTCTGGAAAATCACCATAAAATGATTTGTCTAAAATAGTATCTAATTCTATTTTTCCGCTAGTAAAAGGCTTTTCAGGCTGTGGTTCAGCTTGAATTTCTTCATTTACAGATTCAGAGTCATTTGAGGAATCATTGAATTCTTCAGAGTCTGATTGATCACTGAGAACATTTATTTATTCTTCTAATTCACAATCAGATATATCTATTTGATATCCAAAGTGAGTAAGGAGATCGTCATTTAGTAAAGAAGTATCTCTAATCTGATTGATGATATGATTGCTTTCATCAATACTGAGAATAGGTTCAACATACATGTGTCTTAGACAATCTAAGAGTTCTACAATGTTGTTGTACTCCTCTTTATTGTAATTCTTTGATGGTGTATCATGAATTACAAATATATCTTCAGTGCCCTAATAAAGGTTTTTTACCTTTATTGTGGGAGTGGAAGTAGCTTGTTGATCTACTTTCTTTAGTGGATCTGGTGGACATGGATTAGGAGGATAAAGATCAGATAATTTTGATTTTTTTAATTCTTCTAAATCAATAATCATCTGGTGGATTTGATTCTTTAGATCCATATTACCGACCATTTGGATTAGTTGTGATAACATATCCAAATTTTCATTAAGAAGCATCATAGCTTCTTTTATTTTATCAAGTGATGACTCTATTTGAGTACTTGATGTATGTAGGTTCTTCTGGATTTTGTTAATCCAGCCATTAACCATATCAATTGTAAAGTTTATACCTGCACCAATTTGGTTCAAATTAGTTACAAAAGATGCGGAACTATAAAAACTGATAAATTGGTTACAAAACACTACAACAGTTTTGGTCTTTACCAGCGCTCAAAAGCGCTTGCAAAAGCCTTAAAAAGCATTGGTAATTCAATTACCAGTGCTTCTTCAAAAGTGCTGGTAAATCCAGTGTCGGTAGGCTTTTACTAGCGCTTTTCCAAAAAGCGCTGGTAAAGAGCTTATGCCAGCACTTCTCCAAAAGCGCTGGCATAAGGTCTTTATCAACGCTTTTTGGAAAAGCGCTGGTAAAGTGTCATTTGAAATTTTTTTTTTTAATATTTTTTTTCCCCTATGTCAGTGCTTTTTGGAAAAGTGTTGGTAAAAGGTTATTTGAATTTTTTTTTTTTTTTAATATTTTTTTTTCCCTATGCCATCGCTTCTTAAAAAAGTATTGGTAAAATTATTTACATTTTTTTTTTCCCATTATTGTATTTGGAAAAAAATTTCTTCACGGCTACTAAATGCATCCTAACACAAGTCAATATAAAAATACCATCCAAATTGTTTTTACAAACAACCACAAGTTAACCTGCCAATATGAAAAGTACCATCAAAATTGACTACTAATACCACTACAAGTTAAGCTAGTAAAAAATGTATACTAATACAACCACAAGTTAACCTGCCAATATGAATACCATCCAAATTGTCTAGATAAAGGTACTAAATGTCACACAAAAACAATTACGAATTTTTAACAAATGTAGTACAAGTTTTTCAAAAAGAACCCATCCAAGACGAAGGAAATTCAAAAAGCACAACCACGACCCCATCTTCAACTTCAACTTCAACTTCAACTTCAACAAGTCTTCTTGCCCATTTGATTTGAATTACCCTACATTTTTTATAAATTCATTAAGTGCACATTATAATAAATGAAAATTTAACATATATATAAGAGAAATTAAAAGTTCATAACCTTAACTGAATTGGCATCACGACTAGAAAATGGATTTGGGGATACTCTAGGAGGAGCATTTAAAGAATCAGAATCCTTCAAAATAACAAAACAAAATACATGAAATCTTGGCATAAGTAAACATATATTTAGTAAAGAGTAAACTTATTATAAATATACATGTCCACTACAATTTTGTTATTGTATCTGCATTAGCATAGCCACCTGTTGTTGTAAATTTTCCAACTTGTCGTCGTAGTTGGCTCGTAAATTTTCTAACTTGTTGTCATAGTCGGCTTGCATTTTAGAAATCGTCTCCTGTAACTCTACACGTGTAGCACGTGCCTCCTCCTGAGATTTTTTAGCATTATTAATCAATTCAGCTTTACTAGGATAGGGCCCCCAAACATCGCTTGGTGTAGGCCCGAAGCCAAGCATCCGCACACGACCAGTTCTCTTTTCTCCCCTCACAATGGAGAATGAAATCATTGAAGCTACCAATAGGCGAGTCAGAGTAACTTTTTTGAAGTTTTCTTATGTTTTCCTGCCAAAAAAAAAAAAAAAGTTTGAACTACCATGACATACTACTATGAAGCATCCAGAACTGAAAACCCTAGATTCTAAATAAAGCACAAAAGAACTGAAATCCCAACAAACTATGAACATGCAATGCTTAAATATACATGTGCATGTATATAATATATATATATATATATATATATATATACCTAAGCTTTCATGACAAAAACAAATGGATTTAAATGAAGTAAATAGAGAAAAAAAAAAATTAAATTTTTATCAAATTATTAGTTCTTTTAATACATTGTGCTAAAGTATACACTTAATAAAAAATGTAATCGAGTCGTTATAGAAGAGGAAAAATCAAATTAGTAGTCTTTTGAGGTACCAGACATTGTGCTAAAGTATACAATATGATTAAAGAAATTGCCAACTTATGAGTACTGTTGTTTATGTCTAAATTTGAATGTCCCATCTAATTGAAGAATCTTATATAGGTAATTGGACAAAAGACTTGGTGTGCAATTATTATTATAGGACACATAATTCTATGTCTTTTATTTAATTAGATTCACTAGGCAAAAGTTTTTGCACCTAATATTATATTTTACTTTTTCCCTAAGTTATCATTTGTAGTTTCCTAAGCATTTTCTGTCCTCAAATGGGCAAAAATGTAGAAACCAAATGTGCTTCTTGATTCAGTAGAAAATAATTAGTATAAGATATCTATAATGCAAAGAAGGAAAAACAAGTAAAATTGTTAGTAGAATAATTTCTCTAGATGCATTTATTCTTCCAAATACTCACTATCCATAGAAAGAAGGAAAAAAAGGTGAAGGGTGAAATTGAATTTGAGTAATTTACTAAGGAGATGTGAAACCTCTTCTGTAATTGTGTTTCTTTCTGCCTTTAAGTTTGGTATACTTTGATGTAAATCAGCATAATTTCTCAGTGATCATGATTTGTGTGTGTGTGTGTGAGAGAGAGAGAACTACTAATTTGATTTTCATGCCAAGCTTTTTGAAGATGGAAATCTTTTCAGAACTGAAAAAAAAAAAAGAAAAAAGAATCTGAATTGGATTAGAAATCTGCAGAGATTGAATCTGAAACAATTTTTATCAACATGCCAAGCTTTTTGAAGATGGAAATCTTTTAAGAACTGAAAAAAAAAAAAAAAAAAAAAAAAGAAAAAAGAAAAAAATAATCTGAATTGGATTAGAAATCTGCAGAGATTGAATCTGAAACAATTTTTATCAACATGCCAAGCTTTTTGAAGATGGAAATCTTTTCAGAACTGAAAAAAAAAAAAAAAAGAAAGAAAGAAAAATCTGAATTGGATTAGAAATCTGCAGAGATTGAATCTGAAACAATTTTTACTAACATGCCAAGTTTTTTGAAGATGGAAATCTTTTCAGAACTGAAAAAAAAAAAAAAAAAAAAAAAAAAAAGAATCTGAATTAGATTAGAAATTTGCAAAGATTGAATCTGAAACAATTTTTATCAACATGCCAAGCTTTTTGAAGATGAAATCTTTTCAGAACTGAAAAAAAAAAAATAAAAGTAAAAATAATAAAAATAATAAAAATAAATGGAATCTGAACTGGATTAGAAATCTGCAGAGATTGAATCTGAAACAATTTTTATCAACATGCCAAGCTTTTTGAAGATGGAAATCTTTTCAGAACTGAGAAAAAAAAAAAAGAAAAAAAAAGAATCTGAATTGGATTAGAAATCTGAAGAGATTGAATCTGAAACAATTTTTACCAACATGCCAAGTTTTTGAAGATGGAAATCTTTTCAGAACTGAAAAAAAAAAAAAAGAAAAAAAGAATCTGAATTGGATTAGAAATCTGTAGAGATAGAATCTGAAACAATTTTTATCAACATGCCAAGCTTTCTGAAGATGGAAATCTTTTCAGAACTGAAAAAACAAAAAAAAAAAAAAAAAAAAAAAAAAAAAAAAAAAAAGGAATCTAAATTGGATTAGAAATCTGCAGAGATTGAATGTGAAACAATTTTTATGAACATGCCAAGCTTTTTGAAGATGGAAATCTTTTCAAAATTGAAAAAAAAAAAAAAAAAGAAAAAAGAAAAAAAAAAAAAAAGAATCTGAGTTGGATTAGAAATATGTAGATATTGAATTTGAAACAATTTTTACCAACATGCCAAGTTTTTTGAAGATGAAAATCTTTTCAGAACTGAAAAAAAAAAAAAAAAAAAAAAAAAAAGAATCTAAATTGGATTAGAAATCTGCAGAGATTGAATCTGAAACAATTTTTATCAACATGCCAAGCTTTTTGAAGATGGAAATTTTTTCAGAACTGAAAAAAAAAAAAAAAAAAAGAATCTGAATTGGATTAGAAATCTGTAGAGATTGAATCTGAAACAATTTTTACCAACATGCCAAGTTTTTTAAAGATGGAAATCTTTTCAGAACTGAAAAAAAAGAAAAAAAAAAGAAAAAAAAAAGAAAAAAAAAAAAGAATCTGAATTGGATTAGAAATCTGCAGAGATTGAAAACAATTTTTATCAACATGCCAAGCTTTTTGAAGATGGAAATCTTTTCAGAACTAAAAAAAAAAAAAAAAAAAATCACAACAAGAACTTTATGGATCATGAACAAGTGTTTAGTGGCCTTTACATAGCTTGTATATAATATTTGAAGTTGTCTACATTCAAACGACTATTGCCACAATATATGAGTAACAAATTAACACAAACAACAAACAACAAACAACAAATAGCAAATACTTCTTCTCCACAATACAAATCAATCAACAAGAAGTCTCCACATACAATGATCCCATACTCCCATACTTTTCAACAAATACAAGAAAGTAAATTGCCTCCACACGGGCTAATGATTTAAAAATTGGTCACTTCAAGGCACGTGACCCCCTAATATAGCGTAAAGAGTTTAAAAATTGGTCACTTCAAGGCACATGACCCCCTTTTTGCAAAATGGAAGCGTGAAAACTTACAATCATCTCTGAAGCAGCAGCATCAGTAGCTTTGTCATCCTTATTTACATATGTGCGGATGAATATCTACACGAGAAAGCTGAATACCTTCGTCTTCCTCAATCTATAAAAGAATACATTGTGATATATATTATTTAGCATTAACATTTATAATCATTGAACGACATAAGAATTGAAATAATTTATATTTTCCATAAAAACTTCAACTAACCTCGGCAGAAACACGTGCAAAGCTTTTTGTCCCTGTAATATGCATCATTGTCTGCTTCCCACGACGTTCTTTATTTTTTTTGCTGACCTCCTACAAAAAGTGAGAAAAAGTAAAAGTTCTTTGAGTAAAGAACATTCCACCTAAAATAATGACTGAAAGCAGGTAAACTATAAATTCAACTCATTGACTTCAAAAAATATTGTGATAGATGGAGGATTACCTTTGCCATAGGCATACCCCAATGCCTAACCAAAAATTCCCAATGCTCCTTTTCAACATTAGGTGGTGGGTTTGCCAATCTTTCTTCATCTGTATCCCTAACTGAGTAGTATTCATTTTTCAACTCACACTTGTACCCCCTCCATTTTTTTCCGGTGGAGGATATTGTCCATTGTTTTGTCATGATTCCCACATCATATTTTCCCTGAAAATGTGATAATTGTTGTATGTTAGTCCACTTTTTCCATAAAAATTATTTTAATGTTATTGAAGGATTTTACCTTTACAATGTTCCACATATCCCCCTTCAGCCGTTTAGGCATCTCCCACCAAGTTTTGTAGCACAAATGAGCTAATTTACCCTTCCGAGCAAGTGTTCCCAGATAATTAGTATATGTACCACTCCCAGGACCGATCGGCTGTCCAAACTTATTAACCCTAAACAAAAATTAACAATTGTAGATGTTTAGTACAAAAATAAATATAGAAATCCTTTTTTCTCCTTCATATTGAATATAGTCTAATTATGTAAACTATATAAGATGATCTATATATATATATATGTACCTTAAAGGTAATAAGGTTTTCGCGTCTATGACATCCTTGCATTGTGTCGGACCCCGTCTCTTCTTCGGTGGTGGTTAGGATGATTTTGAAATTGAAGCTTCGGTATTTTGTTCACTCACTTTTTCCACTTCACTAACCGTTCGTTTCATTGTCAACTTATTATTTATCCATCCTAGAAAAACAAACAAAAAAGTGAGAATTCAGTTAAGAGAATGCAATCAAATTGTTAAAAAAAGACAATAAAATTGTAATTCAACACAACATCTAAACATCAACACGGGCAATTTAATAACTATGACACAGTGGTAATTATTAACTCTTGTTCCAAGTCAAAGTATTAAGTTGGATCCAATGCAACCGATTACAAGCCAATCTGTAATGCCATCGAGAATCGATGAATAAAATAGCTAATGGACGATAGATATATAGTTGAGCAAGATCAACAATTCAGTGGATTGTCCCTCATTGGACTAAGTATCTGGTTTTTCCCTATTTATGTTCTTTCACATGAAAATATTCTGTCTCTACTATATTTTATGCATGAATATTGCGGTTGTGTTGAAAGAATTCAAAACCTAACGGATATAAACAAAAATCCAAATCACAGTAATCATAACTAACTAGCTAAATTTTAAAGAGTTTAATTGTAATTCAAAAAGTTACTTTGTTGCAAATTAATATCCATAAGACCTATTCATTCTCTCTCTAGGTCTAATTTACCAATATGCTTTGACACATCAGAGTCTTGAGCAACAATCTCACGTACTAAGAACTTTTTTTTTCCTTTTCACTTTCCGTTAATGTCAATATGCTCAGCACATGCATCCTTTGTAAAACAGCATCCCTATAAAACACTATTTTGTATGTTCCATCATTTTACATACCATCGTAAAACTGAGTACATCGACATAGAGCCAAAAATGGCTCTTCTCTTCAATCTTTTCACAAAAAAAAAAAAAAGCGCTGGTATTGTAACACCAGTACTAGCGCTTTTCCTTAAAGCGCTGGTACTGTAACACCTACACCAACGCTTCAGTAGAAGCACTGGTACTGTATCACCTATACCAGCGCTCTTCCCAAGAGCACTGGTAAAAGACTAATCTGTTGTAGTGTAAGGAATAATTTTAAATGAATAGATAAAAAATTAAAAAGCAGGAAAAGTAATCTTTAATACCTTCAAATAATATTAGCCAATCAAATGCGAGTTATGCCCTTCTTGATTGCTAATGCGAAGGAAACCGGGACAAAGGCTGAATTATAATGGTCACACTATCAGCAATAGCAAGAACATAGCAAGCTTAGTGTCTTGTAGCATACAAAAACAAAAAATTTTGTTCAAGTAGGAGGCAAAAGATCTTTGACTTCCATTTCAATATTCTCTCAATGTTTGGTTTTCAAAGTTACAGAGAGTTAAGAACCCTTTTTGTAATTTGCAGTGGGTCGGTCAGTCGCTTGAGGGGTGGGGTGATTCGCTGCTATGTTTAGGGAAGAGAAGACAACAGAAAGTGAAATTTTTTGAAGAAAACATAATAGACCTCCAACCTCAATCTAATCTGTTTAGAAAACTGGTCATAGAGCTGGTCATCTAACATAGCATTAGTTCAAGTAAGAAATGATCATTTCTTATAAGATAATGTTATGATTATCCTAAACAGGTCTATGAATTAGTTTGAACTTTGTTGAAGTGTATTTTTTTAATAATAATAATTAAAAATAAAAATAAACCTTTTATTGAAATATGTACTTATTTTGTGACTCGGGTGGAAGCCATAATATCACAACATCCAGGAGTATCTGGTGTAGTTGTTGTTGGACTTCCAGACACTCAATTTACGGAGATGGTTGTTGCTTCTATTCAAATAAGAGACAATTGGAAATGGATTGATTTGGGATCTCATATCTTAGCAAAGAACATTGAATTTTGCTTATCTAGTGAGATCCTCCAGCACTTCTGTAAAAAGAAGAACTTAACTGGGTATTTCTATTAATCTTTATACTATATCAATGCTTACTTTCAGCCTTTTAATTTCATCTTCTCCTTCTTTATGCTATAGGTATTCATACAGCTTTTTTTTTTTTTTTTTTTTTTTTTTTTTTTTTTTCAGGTTTAAAATACCCAAAACTTTTGTTATATGGAAGAAGTCATTTCCATTGAAAGCGACTGGAAAATTAATAAGATATCAAGTTGAAAGAGAAGTTATATCTCATGTTCAATATCTGCCTAGCAATCTATAACTACAATTTATTTATTTATTCGATTAATTAATTAATTTCATCTAAGAAGTGGGTGTGGAACATTAAAAAATAGTAATAATAATATTATTATTAATTTTATCTACCGTAAATTCCAATTCCTATTCCATTTCCAATTTCCAATTCCAATTTAGAATTTTGTATTATTATAAAAAAGTTGTGCTATTTGCTAATACTCCTGGCTTTCTCAACTCTTTCCTAATCCAAAAACCCTAGAAGAAGGTGCAAGAAGGAAGGATGGTCTCAAAAACTCTCTACTTTCGCATGCAAACTTCAATGGATAATTACTGGTACAATTCTTCAACGGAGAATGTGGGGATTGAATGGTACCATGTTAATTTATCAAGCAACTACGACTAAGACGATTGGGACAGTGACCACAACTTCGACCCCTACAGAAAATAGAGAACAAGGGAAACTAAGAAGAACAGAGAAGAAAAGCAGCTGATGCCAATCCAAGCTAAAGTTTAAGAGTTAAAGTTTTCTCAATGTTGGAACACAGAAAAAAAAAAAAAGAAAAAAAAAGAAAAAAGAAAGAAATTACCTGAAAAAGGAAATCAGACAAAACTTGTTCCAACAATCCAAGCTAAGATCGATTATTTCCTCCTGTACAAAAAAAAAAAAAAAAAATTGAAAACAACAATCTTAAGTAAAGAATGAGATCAAATAGTGGTTGCAGAATCATTGAAATTAGGAGGATGCGTTGTCGCATGAAATCAAACCCACCTGATCTCAAATCAAACCTACTCGAAGCACTTCTTCCCCTACGCACTCGAAGCACTTCTTCCCCTTCGAGTGAAATTAGGAGGATCTTGTTTACTGCTTTGGCTGTTTCCGTATTCCCGGCTAGATGACGGCACTTCTTCCCCTACGCACTCGAAGCCGAATTGCTTAAAAATCTGCTTTGGCTGTTTCCTCCGAATTGTTGTTTCCGCATTCCCGGCTAGATGACGGCTAGATGATGTCTGGAATAGGAATGGGGAGTGGAGAACGGCTGAAGGATTAGGGCTATTGGAAAATGAAAGGATTAGGGCTTTGCAAAATGAAATGGGAAAGTGGAGAATGCAATGTTAATTCCCCACAAAACGACGTAGTTTTAGGGCCCAAATATTCTCTATATATAAAATCAACGGAGGGAAAAAATGGAGGGAAGGGAAAAAAAATGGAGGGAATGGGAAAAATGGGGACACCTATACCAGCGCTTCTTTTAGGAGCGCTGGTATTACACATATACCAGCGCTCCTCCAAAAAGCGCTGGTACTATTACCATTACACCTATACCAGTGCTTCTATTAGAAGCGCTGGTAATATTTAGACCTATACCAGTGCTCCTACAAAAGCGCTGGTACCATTACTCCTATACCAGCGCTTCTAAAGAGAGCGCTGGTAATATTAGACCTATACTAGCGTTTTTTTTTTAAAACGCTGGTAAAAACCTAATATGTTGTAGTGAAAGGAAGAGAGAAAGAGTAGTAAGAAACTTCAGAAAAATCGATGCCAAACTTAATACGTTGCATATGTTTAAATAGAAAAATAAAAGTAATTTTTACTATTTGGCGAATAGCAAAAAAAAAAATCAAATTTACTATTTATGAATAATGTTCAATTTACTTGAGAAATTGGTTACAAAAGGAAAAAAGAGAGAGTGGTAAGAAACTTCAGAAAAATTAATACCAAACTCAATACAATGCATCTGTTTCAATAAAAAAATAAAAGTGATTTTTACTATTTGGTGAATAGTAAAAAAAAGTCAAATTTATTGTTAATAAATGGTATTTAGATAAGATCGAATCTGCTTTCACTGTTCATGAATAGTATCTTGTCGTTACTTTTCACTGTTGATGAATAGTAGATTTTGACAGCCTTCTTATCGAGTGTTAGATTGTCGATTGCAGTCAGCTAGAAGAAGACTTCAATGCTTCAACCCTCCATTACATTGATGAAGTTATGGAGTTCATTTTCATCTAATGGAGGAGTGCTTGATGGACTTTGGCTATATTGTAAAATCAAATCCATATCTAATTGTTCTGAACCCATAACAATATTTGTTTAAGCTGTAATTTTTAGGCAATAAATTTGTTTTAAAAACTCGTCGGCTTCAAATTGTTGATCAGTTGCATAAAGTGGATAATCAATAGGCAGTTGTGTGATGAAAAGTCTTCTTCCATCACAAACTTTGAAGAATGGTAAATCCGTTGGACCATCTTAAGACATTCTATGTGTTGTGTCCTTAAGGTGCAAAAGACTTTCAATAGCAAGATTCAAAGGATTGATCCTCTGAGCTAGATCTTGTTCAAAATTATCATCTGCTATAGGGTTTAGAAACCAAATCTGATCTGGCTGGAAATTTTTTGTTTTTTCTCGCTATCCAATAGAACTTGAAATCCAGAAAGTCATGCTGCGACTAACTTTCCGTTTTATAGAGCATTGCTTTGATTATGGCTGGAATTATATTTCAGGAAGTGGAATTATGGGATAAGAAGATAACTTTGTTAGTTACTCCCCAATCAATTTGTTCCATTGACCATTGTACTCCAGGAATAATAAAAAGAGTTAGTTTTGGAATATGTTTATGATTATAAATCATGTTGAAATTGTTTATTTCTTCATGATTATTAAGATAGCAATCTTTGATAGTTTCAAAATGATCTTCAGTATTTTGAACGATAATTTTGAAAAGGCCAACAGTGAATATGTCTCTTGCAGTCTTGCTTTTTCAAGAAGACAAATTTTGTTGATTTTTGCAAAAATATTGTTTGGAAAATCATATTCCCCAACGATTTGTGCTACTTTTAAAAACCAATTAATATGAGTTAAAGAAAAATCTTTTTCCCAATCAATTGTTAAACAAATTTGAATGCAAATTAAGCTGTTTAAGTTCTTCTGTCATTGCTGTTTGTTCAGCAATAAGAGAAGTAAGAGCACTCAGGTGTTGCCTGAATTTCGTTTTGCAATCAAGATGATGCATATGCCATGCAACATTGATTTCTTCATAGAATTTGTTTGGAATTCAAGGATTGTAAAAGCTTTTTACTTCTACGAATCCTTGGTTTTTTTAGAAAACATTTAGTGAGGATTGAACCACATTATAGAATACCTTTTGAGCTTCTATAAGCGTGTCATAAGCTTTAAAAAATGGCCAATTATAATTTTTTTTAGGGTATCAAAATCATTCCAATTTGCATAGATTCCTGGGTGAAATCCTGCAAATGCCACAAACCATTTGTTTATTGGTTGTGATGAAGTTCGAGCTGGTTGTTTATTCACCTTTTTAGTGATTGAAATCTAACTCTCTTTTTTTGAGGTTGTTTACCTCGATCACTCATCTGCAGAAGAAGAAATATTGTTAGATATTTCTGTATAATTCCTACTTAGAAAATCTTCTAGAAAATTGTTAGTACCTTTAATATGTTCTATAGCAAAAGAATATTGGGTAATAACATCATACCTTTTTAGACGTCTTCCTTGCAAACAATTATTTTTGTTTATAAGGAAATCTTTTACTACTTGGTTATCGGTTCGAATAAAAAAAATCTTTTTAGACCCTGTTTTTTTTTTCAAGCCAGTGCGTCTTGTGATGAACCAAAAGATGACCTGATAACAGATCTGAAATGTGGAAGCGAAAGAAGCCAGATGACCTCAAGAGATGTACATCATCCCTAAGGCCCCAAAGTGACTCTCTATGAAGTCACGGAACTCAAATGAGCCTAGCAAATGAAGCAAGAATGCCTAACCCTAAAAGAAATGAACCAAGGGCAAAATGGTCATTTCTCACTAAAATGGGTGCCACTGTGCACACCATTGGAAAGACAACGAAAATGAACAAAATTAGACTTAAGAATCGTCTGCTACTGAGTCTGAGCAGAAAAGATATGAAATTCCCACACCCAATGCAAAAGTTATGAAGTAAAGATTTAACATTTTTCAATATTTTCATAATAAACTTTGAAAACAAAAGTGCATAGAAAACGAGATACATGTCATTGGCCTCCGGCCTCATCTTATACATGTTAAATATATTGAAAAGAGTGTACTTATGTACACTTTACATATACGAATCAAAGAATACAAGTTTTGACATATAGGGCTTCAAATATGATTTCATGCTAACATTTTCATGAAAATGATACTTCAAGTCTACAAAACTTCCATGGAATAGTGTGCATCCCAAATCAAGTCCTTGTACCTGAAAAATGGCCCCATAACATAAAGCTACTCATAGGAAATGAGCATGCATCGACCTAGCATTTTACAAAAATATCACCTTAAGGTGAAACATGTTAAAGGGGCTCATGGCACCTAACGTTTATATCAAGATGAGACTCAGGGAGCATCCTAAGCTACCTTAGAGTGTTTCTAGCATAAATCACCTCATTTATGCATTTCAACAACATAGAAACATGTTATACAAAGTAACAAGATATAGATTCTCAAAGTCATCAACTTGAAAGCTAAAATATGAAAACAACAAAAGTGGGTCATGCCACCTAACTTCTATGTTCAAAATGAATCTATAGGATCATTCCTAAACTACATTTGAACATCAAAGCACAAATCATGATATCGATGCAATTTAACCAACATTGGAACTTCCAATACTATGCATAAAACATGATTTCTCAAAGTTAACATCTTGCAACTTAAAATGGGAAATCAAACAAAGAACAATAAGTTACCATATCATCTAGTTATCAACTTGAAATGAAATGCGACATCAAACAAAATGGATACTTGGACATCACGCCGGATCAAACCGACACCATAGTTATTTTAGGGTTACTAGCCCATGGGTAACCTCTTTATGTGCGCACTAGACTATATAGAGGGACAATCCCCCGTACTAGAACCAAGTCATAGCCGTAGCCTAACAACGACATCCCCAAGTTTCCAAAATCAACAAGTTGTGCAACAACATATATATCAACATGTATATACAAGATAATCAACTATCTACCACGCATAACCAAATTTGGAAACACATACAATACATACTCTAAGTCCACAACTACTATGGCATGAAAGATGTCAAATACAAAATGTGAAATTCATTACACAAGACAATGATATTTTCAACAGGGAAAACATATTCTCATGAATATAAATATAACAATTATGTTATCCAATGCTCAAAATGTAACCAAGTGAATATACAACAATTCCTAGTCCATGATTTAAACATAGAAATAACTTCCCAAAACACAATTAAATCCATGGAGAAATTAAATAGAATTTAATTAAATAAAAATAATTAAATTCTCTAGATTTCAATTCAATTCCAAATGGCTTCAAATTAATACACGTCAAAGATCACATTGTGGTCATTACATATGTCATATCAATACTTTAATTTAAGTCACGAGTAGTAAAACAAAATTTAATTAAATATAAATAATTAAATTCTATAGATTTCAACATTAATCAAAATATCCCAAATTTAATATATGTTAAACAATATATCAAGACAATCACTAATATCAACTCAAAAGTTTAATTACTTCATTGGAATAGTTGAATAGAATTTAATTAAATAAAAATAATTAAATATCTAGATTTCAAAATATCTTCAAATCCTTCCAATTTAATATATAACAAAGATTAATTCATGATGATCACTAATATCAAGTCAATGCCTAACTAAATACCAAGTCCTTAATTAATTCTACACAATATACAACTATGTGTATTAAATTTTTAATTAATGACTAATTAAATTAAATCCTAGATTTCATGGATAAACATAGCATAAGCATTAAAATTAATAAATCACATACCATATAAACCTATAATCATCCCCCACCTCAATTGGAATGAAAATCCCAATTACCACTGAAATGAAATCGCCCCAAATTTTTGGTCCGTAAGACGGATTTTTCAACTTGTTACCTTCAACTTGTAAAATTTATAAAAAATTCAATTTTAACCCAAATTGAATGAATCCAAAGCCCAATGAAAGCTTAAACACTTTAATTTGACAATATCAATTTATTTTAACAAAATATTTTTCCAATTGAGACAGTTTTGACCCACAACTTCGAAACAAATTTTGCCCAGAAAAACACATTTTCAGCCTGTAGCTTCCAATTTTGAAAATTCATGAAAAATTCATTGGAAATCCAAATTGGGCAAACTTAATTTATTTTAGAAGTAAACATATGAGAGTGTAAAAT